GTTAATCTCACATAGATTTATATTTTATAGCTTCAAATACCTTATTTTAAGTAAACATCAAAGTCTTAAAATTCAGAATTATTTTGTTAGGAAATAAGTAAGAACAGACTGATTGTTTTGTGATGTTATTTAGCTACCTGAAGTGTAATATGACTTGTAATTTAGCAAATTATAAATTAATAATTAAAAAGGAATGTTATGGCAGTCTAAAATGTTTCCCAGTAGAAGTCTTATAACTTATTTTTAGATATAAGAAAGTAGTAATTTTCTAGATTTGTCCCTTCTGATATAATACAATTTCTTTCTGAGATGCTACTCAACCAGGTATGAGGACTATGTCCAATTTCCAATTTTTATCTGATAATTTCCAATATTTAATCTCTCTGAAAAAGTATATTTTAAAATAGACACAGTGTTCATACATAAATAGTTTTATCTTTATCTGTGTATTGATCTCTTTCAAAGTCTCTTTTCAGCTCTCAAGGCTGAAATTTTCAGGAAGCCAAAGGGCTATTTATACTTATCTCCCATAATCAGCAAATAGAATTACCCACTCCTGTGACACTGTTACCAGTCTTTCCTTCAATCTCCATTTTTTGAAGTGCTCATACTGAAATAAATGAAACTGAACTATGCAGAGGGAATTAAAAGCAAAAGAACGCCAGTAGCCCCAACATTTGCTCTTCTAAGAGCTCAGTTCAAAAGTGGCCCCTACATAAAAAAGCACAATGTAGTCAGCAAGGGTACCAAGGCAAGGGTTTTTTTTTTTGTGTATAAAGGTTTTTTCTCAATAGACAAATACTTGAAAAATGCCACTGTTTTCCTTGTGGGTAGGATTTATCTCAGCCAGAAGTATAAAATGGAGAAAAACAACACGGAAATAAATCCTTTGGCTTTATATCACCATGTGAGTCACTGGCATGGAAAATGCAGTGGAATTACCCTGGGCTGTTACAATTAGAAGTCCTGTCTGAAAAACTAGTTTCAGCACCCAAGAAAACAGGTATCTATATATGCATATAAATATATTATGACTTCTTTCAAATGTGGCGCATAAAATTTAATGCATTTTTATGTCTTTTTCCTTGAAGACTGCACCTACTAAGGTTTTACTAATTTGTTTGAAGCAGTGTTTCTTGGTAACATGTCAGATGTTACCAAGAACAGGAATCTGAAGAATGCATGCCTCCTGTGATATATCTCAGGGAAATACATAAGAAAATTCACATATTGCTCAAGTCTAGAGTCCTTGGGAGAAGATCACATCCACTAAACTTACTGTCTATACCCTTGAATCAATTGCCCATGACTGGGTCTAGTGCTATTTTAGATTCCTTGCAATTAAATGCCTACCTAACTACAGGTACCTATGCAGAAGGTACTGGACTTCTGAGTCATATTTACCTATCTCATGCCTATCCCAAGGGGTGCTAAGATGCCTCAGTTTAGGTAGCTGGTCTAGCCCCTATAGTTAGGAGATATATTCAATTTGCCTTCAGTACATTTGTTCTCTGTACTTTCAGGGCTTTTATCCAATGCAGATGTATGCATATATTAAAATCTTTAATATGCATATATTTAATATTTTTAAAGTAAGTACCATGGGATTTGAAAGGCTTACAAAGAAATGAATGCTTTAAATTCCTATAAAGAAATTACTATCATCAATGAGGATAAAATTAACTATGCATGGGTCAATAAGCTACTGAGGCTGTTAGTCAAAGCACATGAGTCAAAGGCTACTGAGCTGTTAAGCAAGTTTCCACATGCACTGTAGAAGACAATAAGTCTGGGGAAAATTATGTGCTATTATGAGATTAAAATTGCTAACATAACATATACTTGCAAGTTCCAAATTCATATTGTGAAGAAACCTTTATAAGGTGGTTCTAAGGGTTAACTCTGAAAAGCTTATAGAACTTTTTATATATTTTAAATTTAGTGATATTTGTTTTTATGTAAATAAACCCCCAAAGTATAACAAGAAATATATCCATTAATTTGCTTCTTGTTACATGCCATTAGCTGGAATCTATTTTATTCTTGACATATGTAGAACTCAAAATTCATACCACAGTGCTGTGAATTATTTATTGTGCTGTAATTATTATGCTTGATTTTCCTTCAAAACATTTTGATTCCTTGGAGTATCGTATGACCCAATAAGGAAGTATAAAGGAGTTTAATTTTCCTCTGGTGAAATTCAGTGAAGTTTTTTTAAAAATGTGATTGATAAAACTGAAAAATTTCCCTATAACACCTCACTGTAGCAAAGAAACATATACCAAATACTTTGTTAATGCTTTGTTAGAGTAAAAAAAAAAAGTCATTTTGATATTATTACTTTGAGACATTATTCCTTTTAATATCCAGATAATACAATATTACATGTATGTGTAGTTGCATTAGCTCTGAACCTGACTAATATACCTTAGGAAATTACAATGCTTTTTTGCAGCTTAAGCCTCATGGAAGTGAAATACTTCAAATTTTTGAGGGAAAAGAAAGAACTTGTCTTGAAGCATTTTAAATGAAAGAGATGGTTGGTGGTTTGTGGTTTTTTTAAAAAAAGTTATAAATTCTGAAGTGTCAGCTATTTATTTAAATTTAGTATTATTTAATATATATAGATAAATATAAAATATATAGTGTATATATATAACATACATAGTATATATTTAGTATATAGTGTATATAAATATAGTATATATAGTGTATATATGTGTAGTATATAATAAATGTATAGCATTGTAATTCTTATTATACTATGCAGAGAATAGTATCCCAATTCATTTTTTAATAGACGTCAAATATAAAAACTTAATTCTATGCCTTTCTTCAAAATAGAGTAATATAGGAGACTAGCAGGTGTAATCTGCATTCTGCTTTGTGGAACCTTTGATCTAGGACTTAAATATTCAAATAGTTTAACCTTTCAGAGAGGAGCAGCCACTCATAGCATTGAGTTGTAAATAAAGAGAGAAAATGATAGTTTTCTCTGAGGTTTAGGAGCTTTGTAAATGTTGTAAACTTAATTAAGTGTATTGGTAACAGCAGTCATATAAGGATAGTCCTCATAAAGTTTAATGTCCTACACATATAAGTGCTATATGTATGCATAGTTATATAAACCTTTAGATGGTAGGAAAATACAAATATTTTATTTATTGTAGCCCGTTCAGTGCTGTCTCAATATTATGTCCTGTTCTGAAAATTGTTGACCTTTTGGAAATAAGGTGTCAGCTTATAAAATGAGTTCTAGGTGAGCACTATTGTTTCATGTGTTAGAAGGCCACAGTAGAAGTAGTTTGAGAAACCACTGTATTCAAGAGTCATGAATAACTGATCCCTTCCTTTCTTGATAATAGGATTCCCAGAAACTGGGCAAGACATAAGACATTTACTGACTCAGTCGAAGGAGATTTTTTGGGTGCTATAGAGTCACATAATGTATTAAAACCATTGAAATTCCTTGGGCCTTCCTCAAACCTGTATTGTGTTCAGTACACTTCCTAGTCCACAAATGGACAATTCTTAGAAGTAAAGATTTTTCATTTGCAGCTGTGCTTCTCTCACTCCGAGTTCAGAAACCCTGTGTCTGAGGGGAGATGTCAATGTGCCCTCAGTGTACCCACTGTGCTGGGTATCACGTTCTGTCCAGTTCTGTGCACACTTACTGCCTTCCAGACCTCAAGCTGTGTCTGCCTCTGTCACACACACTTGTGACTTGGAATGGCAGAGGATCTTGAGAGATACATGGTATCACCAAGGGTTTTGAACCTTCTGATCACAACAGAGTTTCTTTGTAAGTTAAATTGTGCCTTACTTTGGGTGATGAGCTCTTATGGCCTAGGGCTGCTTGTGTGCTGTGCTCGACAATGCACCAAGGTGTTTGGGTTGGTCTCTGAGCATCACTGCATTATGGCAGAAGTAGCAGAGTTAGCAGTGGTAGTAATAGCACGTGCTGAAAACCAAGGGAAAAAAAAAGTCTTATCCTTGGGGAAATCACACAAGTCTGTAAGACTCTAAATAGGATGAGCATTAGCTTTATAGTACTGATATTTTATTTATCCAGGCAAAAGGTCACACGAATTCAGGGAATCGTACAGTAGGGATGTTTTCCATCACATAAGTGCAGACTTGTTTGATTTTTAAATGAAAACAGATATGTATACTCAAGGAAAGTACATCCAAGAAATATGCTAGTGTTATTGTCTCTGATCTGATTCTGTCTTTGAAATTTTCTAGCTCCTTTTAACAGTTTCTAGGTGCTCACTTCCAGTAAATCTAGAAGATATAGTAAATTTTCTCCTGTTTTCATGAGAACTCCGCTTCAGGAATATGAAAACTGGTAAGTAAAAGAAGAGATAATGTACCATCAAGTGTGAATTTTTGCAAATAATCTGTGTTAGTTCTGGTGTAAATTGTGGAAAATAATGTACACTAAATACTATAAATATATTTCACCATTCAATGTTTATTTTCCATAAAAGTCTGAAGTTGAGCATCACATAAAGTACTGCAATTAAATATTACATTATATAATTATCAAACATTGAATTGAGGTCTACATGCAGTGCTTGTGCAGTGCAGTATTTTCTTGTGTTTCTGATGGCTCGTTTCATTCATGCCTAGGACATTATTTACCTAATTATTTACCAATTTCAAAAGCAGAATAATAATGTAAGTGTGTAAAATATTCAACTAGATTAAGACAGTGGTGGCTTAGACAAAGATAATTTGAATCAGTGAGAAATGTAAAATAAAAATTTGCATATGTGAGCCCATGTGTGAGGAAATAATATGAGCAGATGCATTGCAGCTTACACAATGCACATGACTTGTGTCTGTGTCTTTGGAAGTGACAGATTTTATCACAATAAGATTAATTTGAATAACTTTCATTTTCTGAAAAAATCTTGCATAGTGGATCATGCTGAAATGGTTTCAGGAGTATATCTGAAATTTTCTGTATTGTGGAGTAATTTTGTTTCTATGCTTTATAAATGTATTTCACCAGAAATCACCTTCTGGTATATCTCTCTTGTCAAAGGAATATAGGAATGTGCAGGTTCATACTTCAAATACAGAGGTTCAGATATAATTTCTGGATTAAATCCTTCATTTGCCAGATGTATTTTCTGATGCTTGAAAGTTGCAGTAATTTGCATAACATCCTAAAAAAGAAATAATTCAAGTAAGGTGCAATATTCCATTTCAGTCTTTATCAGGAAAAATGGGTTGTACTAACTGAATAAAATAGATCATACAATTTACTATACAATTTCTTCAGTTAAACAATTATCAGATTCACAAGCGTAGTGAAATCTAAATCTAAATGAATATTTTATTTCTTTCATTTGCCTACTAAAGAAACATGGAAGATTGCAAGTATCTGTTTCAAAATATGTATTTTCTTTTAACTTTCCTTAGGCCAGTCCGGCACAAAATTAGTAGAGTATGGAACACTTGGTGACACTCTGCAGAGAGCTGACTAAAACATTATACCCGACAATGTTAAATGCCTTCTTGTCTTATTTGTCTGCATAAGTACTTGATATACAGCAATTATTCAAATGCCAATTCATGAACAAGTTGTTCTGCACACAATAGTTGGCGTATACAAGCAGAAGTTTTATATAAATAAATCTCCTTTCAAATGTTGTCTACATTAAAAGTTTAAAACAGACTGTTCTCAAGCATTGTGATTACTTATATGGTGTTTTCAATGTAGTGAATGTTTTCTTTTAGTTCCCACACTGAAAACAACTACTTTTAGTTCTTGTTGAAAGGAAGTTAAAAACACTGAGGTAGAAAACATAACAGAGCCACAGAGTTCCCTGGTTACCTGCATCCTTGTCCCTGTGCCTTTGCTGTTCTTTTAGAATCAAGTTGGAGATATTGAGAACAGAAGAATCAGTCTGTCTGATTTGCACAAAACCAGTCAACCATAATTGCAAGTCATTCTAGAAAAAGCCTATATACGGACTGCTGAAAATTTTTCAAGACTGATCTTGTTTTTAATCCAATTTTGCATGAGAATTTCAAGTATTTGTTTGTCACTCTTGATTAGGGTGGCCTCTTTCTCAGGACATAGAGAAGGGAATTCATTTTCTCCCAGGCAGAAAATTGTGAATTCAGCATTTATCCCGTTATACTCCCCTAAGACATTTTATAAAGTAACAACTTTTTTTTTTATTTTGATTTTTTTTTTTAAATAAAATTGAATTTGTCTCCTTTGGTAAAAATTTGCACCTGTAAATATTAGATAATTAGTACGGCTAGTAACTTTGTTTACTTTGGCTCCTCCTCAGTTACATAAAAAAAGCTTTAGTCAGAGAACAGATAAATGCAAACAGGTTTTATCGGTTCCACATATATAAGCTTTAGAGCTCTGTATAGATTTGCTCAATCTAGTGGAACTGTAAAGACAGATCTGTTCCAAAAGCTTTTCCCAGAAGAGGCCACTTATGTCCTAAAGCACTATAGATAGATAGTATGAACTATACTTATTGCATGTGAAGGTACATTTACTTAGTATAGTAATCTGTTAGTGAAAAAAGTTTTTCTCAATTTCTAAATTCTTAAATTTGTGCCTTTTAGACGATTTGTCAATATTTAAGCAAAGGTAAAACTGCCAAATATCTCTCAGAATCCCTTAACAGTGGAAAACTGTGAGCTACAGATTTTCAGATGATGTAATATGGAGCCCTTTCCTACCCTTTGCAGTCCATGTTCTCCTGCAGATCAGCCTGTGGAGAGTTCACAGGGGGTGTAATCCTTGTGCTTTTAAAGTGGATGTTAAAAAAGCATTGTATCCCACTTCTGCTTTTGTACTTTAAATGTGAGTGCATTTTAATTCTTGTGTTAGGAAATCTTATCCATAAAACTTATATCTTACTATCTGTTGTAAAAAACCTGGTATTTCTTCTGTGCCTTGTCAGTAACAGTGAATAATAATCACTTCAAGAACAACCACACCAGGAAAAGGTTTGAAATTGATCATGTCAGCCTTTTATAAGAAGACACTCTTATCAGTAAGACTACACATGTCTTTGCTTAATCTTCTACTGACTAGAAGAAAACACTAGTTAAAGAACTTTGAAGCAAAATCCAACAGCCAAGTTATTAATTCCATCTAGGATTTTTAGGTATAGGTGGATCCTTAAAGCAAAAAAAGTTTAATTCACCATATATTTGCTAAAATTCATCATAACAATCATAGGAACAGTAATTTAGGCTACTATTTTGGCTACTAAGTGTTTTCAATTATTGAATCTGTTTGTAAAATGCTTGAAGAGGCTAATTTTCAAGTCAGACAGAAGACAAATACAGGTGAGAGACAACTGATTGTCTTACCATTATTCTCACAAAGCGTGGTTGGGCATAACTCGGAAGGAAGTCCTCAACATGCTTATAAAGTCTTTCTCCATTAAAGGCGTGGTAACGTTTAAGCACTATAGCTGCCATCCCTGTTCTTCCTTCATAATCTAAAAAAATTGAAAAATAATATGAAAAGTAAGAGTGTATGTGAATGTTTATAAAACTTGGAGAGATTTAGTATTAGTTGGAACAAATAAATTGATATTGTGAAATATCTGTCCTGTTTTCTCAGACATCACTGTGTATAAAGTATATTATATTTTATTTATAAGGTATATGAAATTTTATTTACTATACATGGTATTGTAAGACTTTAAAAGTTATTTTCAGTAGGTTTATTAAATTTTAAAAATTACTCTGATGTCTTTTTAATAGGATTTCTCCATAGCTGGAAACTGCCTCCTAGGTTTAATTCCTACCTGCTAGGTTTCGTTCCTCCCTGAACACTGGTAACATAATGGTCTAATGAAATCAGAGAAATTTTTACATTAATGTAAAAAAAACCCTGAATGCACTCACTAAGACTAATGCAATAGATGGACATAGACATGTAGGAGACTGTAATTGTTCTATATAAAGTTAAATGCCTATGGTACACTGTATGGACAGTGCTGAGTGCTTTGCACTCTATTCCACAGACAAATTTGTGACAAAAAATGTAAGTAGGTGGTACTAAGTTACAGACATCAAATTATGTTTGACATGCAAACAGAAACAAAACCCTTTTCAAAAATATGTACCAGACATAGTTCCTCCATTCTATTTATCGAAGCACAAGTAAGAATTCTAAGCGGAGAAAATATCTAAGCGAGAAATCAGCTGCCACAGTTAAATCTGTTCAGAAAAAAGAGCAGCCTTGCGGTGTGCCTAAAGGCACTGGAAATAAAGAATATGAGTATTCCTTTTCCTGAAAATGAATCTGCAGTTACTGAACTGGTGATATGCTGTAAAGTTTGTTATGGCAATATTTGAGACTCTAGTCAATATAGAAATATGAAAGACTGTGTTATCTAGATTTTATTGACACTACAACCAAAAATTGATGTGACTCTTGAGGCGGTTTTTTATGAGCTATTTAGTGCCTGAGGTAGCAATAACCCTTTCGAGAATCTCCTGTCAGCTCCAGCTGTAGGTGACAATGAGAGATGCTTTGAACATTAGACTACAGTTTTATTTGCATGCACTGTGTGACTGCCACCTGCTGATCAACCATTCAGATGATGGCTTTTTAATTTTATTTTTATGTATCCTGTTTCCTTGAATGCATTGAGTTTCCCATCTCTCAGTGCTTTCTCTTGACAGCTTCTTCTTCATGTGACTAGTTTCTTTTAATACTAGACTTAATTTGCCTTCAAAGGAAATGATGAACAGTTACTCAGCACCACAAAAAGTTTGTCTTCCTCAACCTGTTCCTTCAATGGATGCATCTCCTGAGAAATTTTCTAATTTGGTTTCCTACAGCTTTTCAGCATGGTATTGTATATTTCTATGAAGCATCATATATGATCAAGAACATTCCAATTATGAAAAATATAAATGTTCTTGGATAGCACTCATAAGATAATGGTTTCAAATGTTGTATTTTAATATACTCTATTTTACTATTTTTCAGATGAAAGCCTGTAGCCTAAGAGAAGTCTTGTGTGGTTCATAACTTTGTATTTCTCACTTCATATTTCTCACTTCTGTGTTACAATTTTTAATTTATCCCAATGTTTCTTTCTTCCATTCATTACAAAATTTCAGCACATCATGTTCATTAAATACAGCACTCTGCTTAAATAGAAATTTCAAAATACTGTAGAAAAGCCTGAATTGCCAAGCTGAAAGCACTTGTATCCTTACATGTATTTATGCATGCAGTTGCAAGAACAGAAAAGTTACAGTAAGAAACTACTCTCTTCATTTTATATTCTTAAAATATAGGGAGTGTCTTACTTTTTACGCTTACACCATAGATGTTAACTTCTTGGACAAAATCCATCATACCAATGATCTCTGCAACTTCTGAAGTGGCAACATTTTCTCCTTTCCACCTGTTGAAAAATTTCTTATATTAATATAGATGTTAACTTACACATTTTCTATTTTATATGTGATGGAGGACTACTTTTAATGTGGCCTACATTCTTAACTGAGGAATGTAGATGGACAGACAAATCCTTTTCTTGTTTAGCGCCATCTCATTTGAGATCTCAACGATACAAGAAGTGCCAAATTTGAAAAAATCAACTGTGTACAGTGTCCAACACTCTACTCCAACTTTGGTGGACTTGATTCCTATCCTTAGTGTTTTTTTTAAAGAAAGTTGACATTCATCAGGTTTGAGTCTGACCTGTGCCATCTAGTCCTGCATATGTGTGATTTCTTCCAAGCTCCCTGGATTTACTCTTTACTTTGTGCTATACCTGAAAGTGTCTCCCACCCGGTCACTGAAGTAGAGAAACCCATCGTCATCCATCACTAGGAGGTCCCCTGTGTCAAGATACACATCTCCTTCCACAAACACATTATGCAGGAGTTTCTTCTCTGAGGCTTCTTTATTTCCAACATATCCAGAAAATGGGGCATCCTCAGTAACTTGAAAAACTAGAAGACCAGGTTTACCTACAGGCCATGAAAAGAGATTGCAAATAAGTATATATAGAGTGAGCTATTAAGAGCATAATTTATCATATTTAAAATCCTTTGAAAAACCACATCTGTTCTATGTGTCTTATTGCTGCATTTCCTTAGCTATTCCCTGAACAGAAGAAACTAATGAGTGGAAAAGGGAACATAATTTTGCTTCCTCCTCTTCCAAAAATCTGGACTAGAGGGAAGAGATTTTTGGAGTTTGTTGTACATTACTTATCTGGTAAAACCATTTACCCATTAAAAAGATTATTTATCCATCATTTGAAAAGGGTGACAGTAACCAAACAATACATGTAGAGGCAAAAATATATAGTACCTAAGATCTTGTGCTTTGAGGTTTTCCAGAGGATGTACAGCACTGGTGTGCTGGTGTGACAAAACAAGTTGTAAGCCACAATGTGTCTGGTCCCAAACCATTTAGGAGTCCTTGGAGTTTGAAGCATATCCCTAATGAGCATCTCTCTTTGTTGCTTCCTAAGTCCTATTTATAACAAGGGCAAAACTTCCATTGACTTCACTGAAATTGATTCAGAATACCTTTTAAGCATGTTTTTTTGTTATTCAATATCATTGATAAGTACTGGCTTTATTCTCAGCGTGCTCCTCAGGTTAAAACATAATTCAATTTTCAAAACACTTTTATTTAACTCCTTCAGCAGATGTAAGATGTTTTCATACAAATAATATTCTTCATAGCTCTATTTCTGCCTCTTAAATCCTCTTCATTTTTCTGAAGGCTCAATGTGGAAAATGGAATGAAAGCTCATACTGCCTTTGAGAAGAGAAGCTGGCATTGCTGCAAATACAATGCATAATTTATAACAAATGAACAACCAAACAAAAATGTTGAATTTTAAAAAGAAGTTGCTCTAACTCCAAGTCAATTTTACAGGAGGATCCTCTAATCCTGTTTGAGATTTGGTGCCATTACTGTCTCACATTGTGACAGCTTCAAGTTATCTAAAAAATATGTGTAACAACCTGCAAAACTTTTCTAGTCATGTTGTGAAACTGGGTATTTTATCAATTTCGCTGAGAAACCAATAATTTTTTTGTCCTATTTCTAATACAACTGTAGTGAGGAAACAAGTTCTTTTCAAGAAAAAATAATAAATCTTTTTCTTGATTTGGATATTATCAGAAAATCATGTATTATCAGATATAATAGAAAATTGCTGCTTTTTTTCTCAGTACTACTATCAGAATATGTTATGTTATATGTTATATTTTATTATATTTATTATATTGTCAAAGATAAGCAATAATTATTGCTGATTTGATGACCAGTACTACTGTTTGCCATTGAGATCTGACATTATAATGACCTATTGCAATTTAGGTCATCTGTACAAGCCTTCTCTTCTACCTCCAGGAATTTTATCTCTATGATAATTAAATCTACATACTAAAACTAGTGATGTTAAAGACCTTTTCCCCGGAACTGCTAACTTTGACACAGTGGATTCATGCATGTGTACACAGGCACATGAATATTTGATGTGGCTTCAATAAAAGCAGCGCCGTCTTTCCTGATACTCAGTTTTCAGCATTTTTCTCACAGATATTCTCATCTAGGTGGATACCTTATTTTCAATCTGGGAGTTTCAGCTCTTTGAGGTGGAGTATTCCATTTTAAGTAGGAGTTTGGAAAACCTGTGCAACTCTAGATACTAAATAGATAAATCTGGTTTTGTCACTAAATAGATAAATATGATCCATAATTTGAAATATACTGTTCTTTCTCAGAATTTTAAATTTGAAACTTAGAAAGTATCTTTAAACATCTGGCCTCAAAGCACAACATGTGGAAGTTACTGTATCTTCTTTTTTCCCCAAAAGAAGCACAAAAAATCTGATTTTTCCAGGAATAGGATCAAGTTTTTCTGAAGTGAGAGAATAAAAATATAATGGGCCTCAAATATTACTAATATTCTTATATGATTGTAATTTTTTTATTTGGGTTACTTTATAAATATTTGGATATATTATTGCATATATTAGCAACAGATCCCTGTTTGGATCTATTTTCCAGCGTCATGTTCTAGGTGTACGTCAAAAATCTGTTGCTCACAGAAATATCATCATCTAAACTGAGTTATCTGTTAGTTAATAGAAAACGAATATTTTTCCTTACCTATGGGTGCTTTACTGCACTTTCCATTTTCATCTTTTATAAGTTCTTGTTTCCAGACATCATATTTCAACAACTCAAAAGAATATAGAAACTAAAAAAAAAAGTACATATGCATATCATTTTTACTCACTTTCTAGCTTTGATAAAAAATGTTTTGAATTAATGAATAGTCCCTATTGACTTTTGAATACTTGAGACAGCCTGAAATAAACTGACAGTATTCTAAAATGCAATTGTCAGAAAGTGTTTATATCATGGTAAGAAACACTAAGTAAACATATACAAATAAGTGTTCATCTCCTTTATTGATAAAAGAAGCTCATTGTCTTAGAGTAGGGTCAGATTCAATAATTTATATGAAGGATAAAATGCATTTGATCAAATTGGCTTTTTTGCTTTAAAACTACCATCTATTTTCTAAGTAGAAGCTTAATATTGCTGTAATGCAAATCGAGATGATTCTCTGACAAAAAAAATGCAAAATAAATTTGCAGACATCTCAAAAATTAGTCCAGACAGATGCAAGTGTAAATTTACAACTTAATGATTTAATTAGTCTTTCCTGCTCAATCTCCATTCACATGGTTAAGATTGCTAGAAGACTGAAAATCTTGCAGAGTTGTTATCATGGTCATACCAAGGCTTTTTGGCATCTCAGATTAAAAACAGAAATCATTTGGAAGTCATTAATGTGGTCTTGATCTTAACTGATCTGAATCTTTAGTATATGAATAGTATTTCATTGTAGTATAATGTTCATGGTTCAAGGAAACTGTATAAATTGGAAAAGCATTTGAGACTGTCAGGGCATTTTTATGTTAGAAACACTGAGAGTTTCAACAGTGGTTGTATATGTAAATTTATATCTTAGATATTTTGAGATTAATATTTTTCTCCTTTATTTGCTGAGAATTTTGAATTTTTTGTTTTGCTAATCTTATTTCAAAAGAAGTGTGACACTAGTTTTAATGAGTGGAGATACAGTCAAAGAGCAATTTGTGTAAGTTTGGTTTGGAATATCTATCTCCTGATTCATACCAAAAGTCAAATCAAAACTAGTTTCTGGCTCCACCATTTAATATATGTAGGTTTTCAGGATGGTAAGTAAACTTTAAGAAAAATCGTCATTAATCAGTCCTGTGGGTAGTCACTTCTACACTGTTTGTTGGTTTTTCTTAATATATTCTGGGGGAAAATAGTTGGATACACAAGCTTCTATGTACTCATTGTGTATGTTTATTATGGCTTCAAAATATATGTACAGAGAATAGAGTCAAGGAAAGGACTGAGAATAAGCTTTCTGTTTTCATGAACCAAATTTTCTTGCATCTGGAAAGAAGGAAGCAGTTTCTTACTTCCTGTTCTTTATAATTTCTGCCTTTCTCATGCCTTTTAGGTTTGGTTTGTTGGTTTTTTTTTTTAATTATTGTATGCTTAATTGTTTGATTTGATAACCCTTACCTTTGAGAAGATGCCAACACGTCCCACAGCTCCTATTTTATTAGTATAGTTCAAGAAAGAAAGATTTCCTTCTGTGGACCCGTAGAATTCAAATATTTTAATTGGGCCAAACCTCATCAGAAATTCTTTCCATACAGAGGGTCTGATACCATTTCCAAGAGCAATGCGCACTTCATGAACTCTGTCCTCTTCTTTCTGCGAGCAGACAAAAAGAAACATTCTGTACCTGAGAAAAGTGGGTCTAAATACCTAAAACTGGTCTAATACTTTCTAACAGAACAATTTTCATTTATGAACTGCTACCTTCACTAGAATACTTTGCAGAATGGTTTTGGTTTTTGTTTTTTTTTTTTTTTAAATCAAACAGAAAAGTATAAGAAATCTTGGTCTGAGGTTAAGGAGTTTTTGCAGGGTGAAAACTTTATTTCTGTAATTTTTTGAATTTTTGCTTAGGAAGTCTATAACTAGGATATCTATTACAAAGTTTAAAATATTTTAGCTGTAAATAAATAGGTTTAAAGGAAGAGCCATTTCCCATAGAATCAAAGCTCCTTTCCCACTAAAGAGAGAAGATTTCCTGTATCAAAAAAATTGTGCCTTAGAAAACACTTGTGGTACAAAATGGTCGATTCTTTTTGTAATGATACTTGGTAGAAAATTTTGCAGATCTACCATGTTCCGTATGGGACCTGGAAAAACAGCAGAATTACTCAAAGCTGCTTAAAATATCTCATATGATTATGTTCAATCTTAATCCTAAATCCAGATTCATCAAAAATTATAATAAAATCTGCAGTCAAAATGTAGTTGCTAATGTGTTATTGTTACATGTCAATGCTGTAATTATTGTGCTAAACTCAGATGTTAATTTACAAAAGTGCATGGGAGCAGACTACTCAGCATCTTGCCTATGGGACTGTACTTAAGACTCTGAGAAGCCCTCACATTTTTAGAGGTATAGCAGGAATTGAGTAATTAAATTACTGTTCTGGCTGAATGTCAGCAGAAAATTATTTCAGGTCAACAGGAATGGTTTCTTCAAACCAAATAAATGCATTTCGTTTTGGTTGTTATTCTAATCTGTTAATCTAACCTTTAAAACTGTAAAATTATAGTTGGTTTCTAAATAATATTAAGGTGATTTAAAGATGGAACTTGTAATTACACTGAAATTACCTTGTAATTACACTGAAATGTTTTAGCAGAGTTTCAAATTTTTGACTTTCAAAAATGTTCACATGAAATTGTTTTGTGAACTATGTATTAACAGACAACTTCATTTAATCCAGAACTGCATTTTATGGCAGATTAATTATTTGCCAGGATAGGATCAACCATAATGCAGACTAAACCTCGCTTGTTGAACACAGGAATCAAACAGGAGTTTGATATTCCCTGCTTCTACCTAATCAAATGTGTTTTCTTTTGCAATTTTAGTGGCAAATCTGAAGGAATAAATGCTTTGATCACATGTATATAATCCAACCCAATTATAAACCAGCTGTGAGGCTGACTGGGAGACTTCCTTCATGCTTCATGTCCCTTCTTCAGCACTTTGTCTTCAGGGTGAAATTACGAGTTTTGGGGTTTTCCCCAATATATTTTGTGATACTATTAAGACTTGAAGTAAAACTCAAGAGTTTCAAAGATTACAATAGCAATAGGAGTAAACTGTCATTCTTACCTTGGTTCATGCCTGGTACAACAATCTGCAGCATTTCCCTGAACTACCTTGACTTTTAAATGTCTTTATTTAAAAGTTACATGATCCCCTTTAAAAACATACTTTCTCATTATTTTGTTACCTTCTGTGTGGCTTAGTATTACTTCTGATAGGTAAATGGGGCTGGTTTGCTTGCAGGAGATGTAGTCACAGAGTTTCTGTCCCCTTCAAGAAATCCCCAAGTGCCTCCTATGTTTTCTCAGTTGGGAAGGTGTGGGCATGCTCAGTGAAAGGAGGGAAGGACAGACACCCCAGGGATGATGTTGAGCATACTCCAGCACGTCCCTCATGTTCAGCCCTAGTCCTGAGCCACACCAGACTTATTGGCCTGCATGGGTTTCTTTCTGTGTAGAACCTGTGTGGTACACTAGAGGTTATATGGAGAAGTTATATATGTATAGATAATGTATATATATGTATATATATGTATATACATGTTATATATGTATATAACGTCTGGTTATATGTTATTTGTGGTCATAGTCTAGTAAAATACGTGATTGTAATGGAACTCCTGATGTACCTGGTCTACCTCTGCTAGCAACCTCACCTTCCTCAACTCATCTAGGCCATCTTTCTGTTTTTCCCACCTTACCAGTTGCCAGTTAATATCTATTTCTTCTCTGTTAAATTTTTGTCATTGAGTCAAGAAAAGAAAATGCTCATTGTTTTTTTTTCCTGCAGGAGAAACCTTTACACAACATGTTTGGACTAGCTAATACTTCCTTTGTGGTTTTTTGATCTATGGACTACTGATACAATGTTTGTACAGGCTTGAGTTCTGGCCAACAGCTATCCTATCTTGTATCCTTTAATCCTTTTTATCTTTGATCTCTCTCCTACATCCAGACCACCCAATAATAAGATTCTGTTCAAACCAGCTGGAGAATTCTTTCAGATGTTCCCTTGTTCTTAGGCCTTGCGTCAATCTCTGACCAATGCCATTAGAGATCATTTGAACTTTGTGCTTGTACATGATGTTTTCTGAGGTAGGTGGGAATACTTCTTGTCACCTCCCTTCAGTAATATCCTAACTCCCAAGTACAAAGCTTTAAAAAATTAACCAAGCTTTCCCACTGTCATTGAGAAATGAGAGTTGCAACTTAATAAGTATTTTCAGACTTACTTGTCACTGTTTGATGACATTTTATTTTGTCCTAAACCTGACCATGATTTAGCTGTCATGCTCTTTAAGACTGTTATCCCAAGGGGGACAAAGATTTTGCACCACTCTATCAGTAATTTGGTTTTATACAGGTATATCCATCATCATATATAAAGGCATGGAACAGAATGTGCCTTTGGAAGACCTCTAAGAAAAAGATTTAAATTAATACATACTCATTTATCAGTTTCAAAGTTAAGAATTAATTATCGTCCATTAAATGCTGAATATAATAGGCCTCTCATGTTAAAGAACTACTTTTGAACAGAGCACTGAAATTGTTTAATAATTTAATCTGGTTTGGACTCTTGTTTGGACATTGGATATGATTAAGCTTTTACAGCTTATACCTTTTCCTGACTGACCTGTGACTTGTAGGTCACTCAGACGAAAAGCCAACAAGCTTGGCTTTTCAGGGGCACTTCTGTGAGTGTCAGGGTATGTGTCCTGTCCTGCCAGGCTTGTTTCTTTGTGGCCACTTCATTTGCTGATGTAAACATGATTGCTATTGGTAACAGCAAGGAACACAAGACCTAAATTCTGTATACACTGGAAAAAACTATCAAAAATTGAAAATACTGTGCTATTCAGAAACGGGTGAATCTATCTGACTTTCAGATTTGTTACATCTTAAAGCTGCATTTGCAAACAGAACTTACACAGGCCTGATTGCAGAGGTAGCGACAGAGTTCTCCTATATATAAAAACATGGTAACATTGTACTTCCTACAGTCATTCCAAAACTGTCTTGCAGAAAATTTCTTCTTCAAAACACAGGTCGCTCCTATGTGATGAAAACAGATAAGAAATTTCAAAATAACTTTTAAAATAAACCCCTTGTCTTCTACCACTATTGTAACAACAACAAAAGAAATTGTCATTCTCTTTATTCAATTAATGATAACTTCAGCTAATTAAATAAATTGTAATCTATTTCCAGCAGGATGTGTCTCTTAAATGTGACTTGCCCAATTAAGTCTTTCTGAGTAGTAACTAAAAACTTAGGAGTAGCAGAAGCAACAGAAACAAATCTTTTAATCAACTCCCATTGTTAGGAATAGGTCACAGCCTAAACATTTTGTTTCTGTCAAGATCATGAACTGGTTTAACTCTGAAAAAAGAAGATCTTGGAATGGGGGAAATGGTAGCTCACAGCTTCTCTATTTGTGTGACAAGTGGAAAGGAAATGGCTGAGTCTTTGTTGTTTTTGTTTCACTCCCCTATTTCTGTTCCTTGACAACTAAGAATCAACATTTTTTTGGTTTTGTGACCCTGGTGTTTTTTCAGGGCTTTCCATTCCAAAAGCCACCTCATTCTACACCTCTCATATCTGCCACCCCATGCCTTCCTAAGTGTTGTCAGTCAAGAATTTATGAATTTCCCTGTTTCCATCCTTCCAAAAATTCCTATTTGCAGAAGTCCTGTTTGTCCCTTGTGAAGCTTCCCAGCGTCTTTCAAGTTTTGAATCCCTTCTAGTCCACTTGTTCCCAGCTTGCCTGTTCCTCCCTGATCTTGAAACCTCTCAGAGCTCTTCAGCCTCACTCTTCTCAAAGCCTTATCATTCATATCCCAAACTCCCAAGTCTCTATCTGAACACCTAAGAAAGCTGTTATCCTACATTTTCTGTTCCAAGACAATTCATATCCTCAAACCTCTTCATACACTCATTTTCCCATCCCCTTTGTGTTTCTGTTAGGCAGAAGCAGTCTTGTCAGAAGTTACTGTAAGCCAGCATACCTGCCTGCCTTGCTCCTGAATAAAAAAAAACACTGCAATGTCTTTTAAAACAACTCCAGTTTTATACTTAGCATGCCAAAATCCAGCACCTGGGCAAGACTCTAAGGACAGAAAAGAAGGACATACCTGGGAAATATCTGGTTGCTAGCTCTCTACAAATAACTCCCATTGTCAAATTTAGAAAGGGAGGTTTGGTCTTTCTTCCTTTTTTCCACCTCAGTGTGATGAATCTAACTCTGTAGGTCTTACTCAAATAAGAGACTGAAAAAACTTCGCAAGATGTGTAGTCAATCTCATTCTGAAGGTTAGGCTTCCACAATGCATTTGTACCTTTTGACACTAAAATTCAAGCCTCAGATACCTGTGTGAATGCCTTTACAAACTTTTGGCATAGGGCAAAAATATGATTTCAGGTTAAACTACAGAATATGCACAGTGTTGCTAACAATGTACAGACCTCAAGCCATTTTATGTTGGATTTATACAACAATTAGTTGCATAAATCTACATTTAGTCAGAAACTATGCACATAACTTAGGTATTGCCTGCAAATGGGAGAGATGATAAAAATGTTTGGTAAACATAATATTTGAGTTACCAAGCAGTTGTTCATCTAATACTAACAGGTTATAGCCTTGTCAAGTTAATGAAACGTCACTAGAAGGTAAATATTACCTAACTGAATGCATCCACCAATGCCAAGAAGTGAAGCACTGATGTGGTACAAGGGAAGAGTGACATACATAATATCCTGAGAAACTGCACCACACTGAGTAAATACTAAGGACACAACCAGAGTTCTTAGATGAGTGATGATAGCAGCTTTTGGGAAACCTGTCAAAGGGAAAGAGCAAATCATTATAAATGTACTGCACACATTAATAGTTTTGCTATAAGTAGAATTATGCTGGGAAGGTACAGGGAGAATTGTCTCTTCTTCTGAGTCTTTGTCCTATCGTTCACTGTTTTATATCTCCTTAGTCCCTCAGCTCTTTCACTCTTTCTGCTTGTAAATCTATTCAATCATAGAATTATAGAGTGCTTAGAGTTGGAAGGAACCTTAAAGATAATATAGTCCTAACCTCCCTGCCATGTCTGTTCTGTCTGAGGGACGAAGTCCATGCCCTTCACATGCATGTGCAGGCCAACTCTGCATACAGGTTTCCCTTGCAGAAAGCAAGAATGGGAATACTTCTGAAGAGCTCTCTCAGCTTCTGTTTGCAATAGAAATAACTTCTACAAAGCTATTTGGATTGACTAGTGGACAAATTTCCCCATTTCTTCCATGCTAAAAACTCCCTTTTCAGAATCAAAAGCAGAGGTTCCATCATTCTTCCTTTCTGAGCAACTCATAGAGACTGACGTTGCTTTATATTCAAGAAACTAATTTCATCCATGGAGTTTCTGTGTAGAATTTCAGTAGCTGAAATTACACCCTTGTTATGCCATGGCAAAACATGGTTTAAAGTGTACTGTGCTTCTAAATAAATTGATTCCTCCATGTCTTGTCTTAGAAATTCAAGCTCTGTCTCTTTGTGTCTTGTTGCTAAATTTATACTGCTTTAATTTTCATGCAGCTGTACTTGGTTAGTACATATCTTCACCTGTACTTCCTGATGTGAAGATATACAGAGCTGTGTTTCTTGTGTTGGTGACAGCTCTGAGATGAGATGGGACAGGATTATCAGACACCTTGTCTAGTTTGTCTGGTAGAGTGTGAACATGCTGCCAAGGAGAACTGGTGCTCATCAGCCAGACAGCAACATTATTTTCCAAGAGATTCCAAATAAATTCTTTCTCTATTGATCCCAAACAATCTGCCAAGTTAAAACCAACAAACAAATAAACAAAAACAAAGACAATTATTAAAATAAGTACAACTGCAGACCTGATTACCAGCACTGAAATTATACATCATACCACTGTATAAATCTACCACAGCCATAGGAGGGCTAACCTGCATACTGGACAGTGAAAAAATCAGCATGATGTTTAATTTCCCTGTATTTCTCATGTGGCTTTAATTGTAATTGGTAAAACACCATGAACTTAATCACCTTTGCTTTGAAGCTTGGTGCACATAGGAAGTAACAAAATCTCACAGGTTCATATGGAATTATGGTAGTATTGCCAACCTATATAAAAGATGGGAGAAAGTAAAATAAATTGCCTAGTGTTGTGCCATGAACAGGGACAAAACTGCAGCTTGTTGTGCTGTAATCTTTGCTCCAAGCAATGCTACCTGGGGATCAATACTTTAAAGTAGTTATAAAGTAATATTAATTTTTATGTAGGTATTTTGAGCTGAAGGAAATCTCGACTACAAAGGGAATCTGTGTCTTTGTGTAGTCAGTGAAGTTTCATATAAGCCACATAAATCAATAAATAGAAACGGAAATGAAATTCTGTGAAAGTATCTCCCAAGGCTGTTTTCTTGCTGATGCATGATTATTGCTCCTGGTAGCTTTTCCAGTACTTTGAGAGTTTCAGATTTAAGTCTTTTATTCTACTAATTAATTGCATGGGACTTATTTTGTGCTTAGACCCTTGAAATTTAAACATTAGCTCTTTTCTCTCCTTTTTAGACAACACTATCTCTCTCCTTACTTTCCCCCCTCCTTTTTTTCCCCTCCTTTTAAGTGTGTATATATAAAGAGCTTGCATCTTTGAAGGGCTCTGATTTTATATTTTTGATAAAAGCAGGAAACAGTAGAGAGTGAGCAGTAAGTGAAGCACAACACAGAACTTACCTTCTCCTATGACCAGTGCTTTTGCTGCACATGTATTAATGCAGTGCAGGAGAGACCTTGAGTGGATATTGATGTTGAGAAAGGCCACGATGAAGCCCAGCTTGGCCAGCCCAAACCAGACGTGGATGAAGTCAGGTCCATTACCCATGAGCAGGGCCACTGTGTCCCCTTTTTTCAGATTCCCATAGCGTAGGAAGGCCTGTGCTACCCTGTTACTCCTCCTGTCCACATCCTGGTAAGTGTACACAGTCCCTTCATAGTTAAGGAATGGCTTGTGGGGATTTTTTTCCACTGTCTGTATGAAAAGGTCAATTAAGGAGAGAATTCCATTTTTCACCCACTTTTTTACTGTTGCCTTTGACCTCTTCCGCCTCAAGAAGTAGATGAGATCTTCCCAGAAATAGGGCAGAAATATTTTCAGAGAGACACACAGCACCACTATTCCTCCAGCAACTGTCGTAAGCCACGTCCACAGCATGCTTGGAGCAGGGCAATAATAGATTTAGTGATCTCAGACATATAAAATGCATACATTATAATAATTAACAGAGTTTTAGGACGTAGACTGGAAGTTAATAAGCGGATTAACAATTCCACCAATTAATTTGAGAACTGTTAAAAATACCTTATTGGCATTTACTAGAATAAAAACACCCACAAGGGCACAAAAAAGAAAAAGCGAGTTGAGAGTAAAAAAAGGATTGTGCAGGATTTTTCACTTTTAATCAAAATTATGTCTAGATTTTTTTACTGTCCCATGGCAAATCCTAAAAAAAAGATGGAAACAAATAGACTAAGCATCTACTATCCTATGTATAATAGGAAAATATGTTATGCACAATATACCTGTAAGATGTACCAAATGTTCTTTGCTGCCTAAATGGTGTTTTCTGCTCTGAGAGAATCTGAGACGGTTTGAGACCTAAAGTTTAAACAGCCTGATGAACATAAACAAATTGCAGGCAGCATACTGTAAAACTTTTGTATCTTCTGAAGTACCTAGTTTTCACCATAGGATTTTCTAGCATTTGCAGTAAACAGTGATTGAGAACTTTGCAATATTTATACTATTTACATTATTTACAATAGCATCCATTGCAGTCCCAAACGAAATCATGCGCAAACAAATACTGAGGTTTGGAAAACAACCTTTATAGCATAATAATTATTAACTTCTGTAAAGTATTTCAGGCAAAAATTATTTGTCATATTTTCAAACAGCCATAGCAGAGGACTTGTTAAGATCATGCAAGATCCCTAGAACATAATATATGTAACCCAGTCTCCTTTTTTAAGTTTCAGCCATGATAACTGCAAATATTTGAAATGTCTTATGTCACAATCTAGGATTCACTAGCACTTCAGCAAACTGAGAGGTTTTTTCTAAATGGGGTGGCCTCTACTCTGTAGTGTGGAAATATCTTACTGACAAGCTGTATTTTTGGTATATTCCTCAAGCTTGTTTAAATTTTAAACAATATTCAATGAATATACTTGTAAAATTCTGTGGAATTCTTGCAGAAAGCAAGATCTTGTATGTACTATAAAGCATATTAAATGTATCAATAGAAGAGCAGCTTAAAAATGAAAACATCATTGCATTAATTGCACTTAAATATACAAATGAAGTTAAAGCATGTAGGGCACAATATCTTAATGTTCTAAAGAAAAGTTCTAAACCCATCAATTTCTGAAGTTTTTAATTTGTAAAGAGACATTCTTAGTTACCTTGAAATCTGTCAATTCTTGATTACGTTGTGTTACCTATCGGGCCAAATGTCTTCTCTTTCTATGCAAAGAAACAATTAAAGCAGCTCTTAGTTCAGTCTTACAATAGATATGCCATTAAAAGACCCATGTTTCAGCTCACATGGCTCCCTTACTGACTTTCTGCCTTTCTCAGAATGTTATTGTTTATTGGCCAAGGGCACAAACAGAAGACCTCCTGCGTGTCACGGCTCATCTGTGATTTGGAAACCTTTACTCAGCTTTCTTTGCCACATGCAAGCATGCGAGATTCACTAAAATGAATCAACCAGTAAATTTAGCTCTGGGTAAAGTCAAATCGGCAGACTTCATAAACTGAACCAATAAACACATAATCTTAAGAGAAAATTAATAAAAGGGATGATGATGTTTGACTAGGTTTCAGCCCTAGCTTTCTTTTAGCAGTCTTATATTACTTCTATTGCCAAAAATAGCCATAGTGTATAAGTGAGAATTCAAAGCAGAATTAAACAGAGGAAAAAATAAGCAGACTACAGAAAAAAATATTTAGTCCTCAAAGCTGTGTCAGGATTAGTTTTGGTTTACCCTTTTCACTTGGACTTGATTGGAAAGGCCCACGTATCATTGTTTTAGACTTGTTTGAGCAAAATACTGTTTATGGAGCAGAAAACAAAGAACATTAAAGGGAAAATATAGACCATATAAAGGAGGTGTGAATTTTAGGAAAGAGCATATATCTGTCTGAGAGAGGCTGCAGTCCTATAGCCAGCTGCACTGCAGAAATCATACTGTTGTCACCTGCTGTATGCCTGGAATGAAAAGCCTGATACTTGCTTTTGACTGCAGTATACAATACAATACAACACAACACAACCTAGTTTGCCTTTGATTATTGCTTATAAGGTTTCTCCACAGCGTTCACATAAAGTATATCCACTGGAAATGAAGTTACACTCCAAATGAAGGAGCTGCTCAGAACAATAAAATATTTTCTCAAATTTAGGCAAATTCAAAACACCTTGGGAAAAAAATTCACACATTGTGATAAAGAGGTTTTGATTTTGCTACAAATGCAAATCTGTTGTTTCCAAAGAGGTACCAAATGCATGCTTAATTACAGTCAAAGCAGATCCTTTTTATCCTTCCTACAATATCAGCTACTGAGCTACTGTCAGGTTGTGGCATGGTTTAGTTGTTTGGTTGTTTTGTGGCATTTGGGGTTTTTTTAGAGGCAGTCTGTCAAAGTATCAAATCTGATTGTGCTATGTCGTTTCCATTATTTTCACCAAGTTTCCACAAAGTGGAATTTTTTTGCATGTGTACTGAGATTTTTATCTCAGCATGGTCAGAAATAAACTTAGTCCAGTAAGTCCACAAAGAATGATAGAATCATAGAAGAGTTTGGGTTGGAAGGGACCTTTAACATCGCCTAATTCCAGTCTCCCTGCCATGGATAGGGACACCTCCCGCTGGACCAGGTTGCTCAGAGCTCCATCCAGCTTCGGATGTTCTAGGACATTTTCTCACGTTGCCCCTGGTAAATTTACTCTGAAGTCTTGGAAAGTGCCTTTGAACAATTATCTCAGAATAACTTTGTAGTTCCTTTAGCCTTATTTTAATTAATGTGCAGTCTGGTTATTTCCAGTCCTTAGTCTTAATCTATTTAACTTTTGAGAGCATTCTATGCCGAAGATGTATTATTCCAATGGAAACTGACTGCTATCTTTCTCAGTTGGAACTCCCTTTTTCTTCCCCTGGCTCTGATCTGGCATTATTCCCTTAGAGAAAAGGAAAACAGGACGACAGATGTGCCACCTCAGACACAGAGCTACTACATGTCTGCAGCTTTGCTTGCACAGGGAGGGTAACTCTGGGAGACAAGGAATGTACTGGAGAGAGCAATAGCACAAGAATCATTCAGTCATTTAAAGAGTCAGCATGTTCTCCAGTCCCAGGGGAATATAAAGCCCCATGTGTTGGCCTGTGGAGGGAGCAGAAAACACAGAAGAAAGTTTCCCTGCATCCTCAGAACAAGCTCCTTGGAAAACCATAGCTTAGAGATAAGAAATGGCTTGTGAAATGACGAATACAAAAGGAATTAGCTTTCCCCCATGCCTTTGGAAGACCCTCTTATCTATCTTCAATATTAGTGGTTCATTTTCTTTTAGTATCCATACGCCAGCTTTGAATGCAAAATCCCTCAGGGATTGGTAGAATTCCCTTGGTAATTGGTGCAAATTGTAAAACCCTCAAAAGATATAAAAATCCCTGTAAAACAATAACTGTCGGTACATGCTAGATAGGATGCCTTTATAAAATAAACTATGGATTTGTGCCTTTCTACATATGCTGGTTTCTTTTCCCCGCTGGTCTAAAAGCTCACTGCAAGCCAAAATTCTATCTGGGCAAAGCTCGGGAATGTGCTCCGTCACTGAGGGCTGCAGAAGCAGTCTCAGGGATCCCAAAGGGACCCCAAAAACCCCAACCAGTGACATTGGCCTCTGTGGTTTCATGTCCTAGCTCTCTGAGGTATCTGATATCTCTGAAATACCTGAGAAACAAAGACTTTCTGTAACTGCCCTCATAGTTAATGTTATAATGACTTAAAAGTGCTTAGAAGACTTTCTCTCATAGGAGCTTCGCAAGGTGGAAATGGTATTTTAAAAGACTTAGTGTTCTGCACAATTGCCATGTAACCTCTGCTTTGAAACTTGGAAGTACAAAATTTCAGTTTAATTAATTAATTAATTGGTCACCAAACTCACTGTTTTTGGTTTGTCATGGCTTTTTTGTGCCGTAGAGTCACAAAGCAGGGAAAAGCAGGGTTTTGTTTACTTACTCTTTCTGCTTTGTTTGTCTTTTCTTTTCAGCTGTTCCTCTGCAATCACAAGGATCAAAAACATTTCCTTTTAATGAAAATTTATATTCTTAAGCATCTATTAAGTATTCTTAACCATCTCTTTAGAAAATGAAATAAAATTCAAAAGTAAGTAGTCAGTGGTATCAAAATACACAATGGACTATTTTTCAATATTTTCTGGCAACCACATGATTAATGATAAACAGGCAAGGTTTATAAATACAGAGAGCCCAAATATTTACTAAAAATTAAGGTAAAAAATCTGTTTTTCAAGTAAACTGTCAGCTTTTTCAGTGAAACAACATGCTACCTTTGCTAAAAGTAATCTAACCAATAGGCAGTAAAATCTGAGTTTTCAAGCTTATCATACTATACAAGTAGTAGGAATAGACTGAGATATTTCTCTGATTGAAGCAGAGTTTCAGAAAATTTTAATGCAAGCAAACAAAAGGCTGTCTCTAAATTGACCTCTGATGAATGCAGTTGTTTTATATAAAATATGAAATTATCTATAAAAGAAATGCAGACATTATAATTTAGCTGAGTTTATACCCAGTTCCTTTTCCAGCATCTGAATGATAAATGAAAGCATTTGCTTACCAACCTTTTTTTCTGTGTATTTTGATTAATGTCCTGTCTGACTCTGTGTATCACTTGTAGGAGGGTTGCATGGGTTGCCTGAAAAGGTTTGTTTTGTCCAAGCAGATGCTCTCTAGAAGCTCCACACCTGGAGTGTGTCACTGCTGACTGTGTGCCTAGGCAAACAGGTGAAGGCTTCTTTCTGTCTCCTGAACATTACAGGTTCCCACAGCTCTGTAGCTACTTGCTTTGCAGCTATCTTGAAGCATGTGAGTGAAAGGGAATAGGACACTGTATTTTGGAACAAAGTG